AAAAAAAAAGCCAAACCCACAACAAAACAACTTGGCATTTATAAATGGCATAGGATATTCATTGCATAACTAGAAGCTCATTTTCTGTTGCAGGTGAGGGCTGCTGTCTGCACTCTCACTGCAACCTCACCATGGGAAGACTGCCATAAATATGTACAACATGTAGGAGACCAAAAAGGAAGAAAGCAGGAGCAAGTTGTGGAATAGAAAGTAAGTCTATAACACCAGCTCTGGTGTTAAAATATTTTTGTATCCATTACACAGAGTTCCAACTGCTGTCCTCGCACCACTGTGGTTTTTTAAGCACTTTAAAAATTTCTAATAAAAATGCTCTTTTAGGTTCATTGAACACTTTCACATAAAAAGAAAGAAAATTGAAAACATGGGTCAAAGGCTGTGAAGTAACATGGGGCTTTTAGATGCTTATTCAACCTCATGTTGGTCTCAACCCATACTCATAGAAATTGGGAATGCAGAGACAGATTTAGCAAAAGGGTTTGGTTTGTAGTACCTTCCAAATCTCTCTGTTATACTTCTTTCTTACTTTGTGTCTGACATTAAAGATGCCATTAGAGATGTAGAAGTGGTAGAGACAGAAATAGAAATACTGTTCTTGGGGTGGGGCAGGGGGAACAAACCCAACCAAAGACCTTTCCAAAATGCCAACCAAGGCTTTACATTGCTGCTCCTTCCTTCTCTCTGCGTGTTTAACAGTGAATAATCAGCTGAACAGACATGAAACAGGACTCAGGGTCATTGCCAGAAGAAGTAGAAGGTGGGCATGATCTTTCATCACCTTTATTTCAGCAGTCAAGTGCCCCTGTACAAACTGGCATTTTCTGATGGCCTCCTACCTCCTGTGTCCCCTGTTGTGTCCTGCTGTTCTGGCCTTTCTTAGGAGCTCTGTGTTGTGTGAGCCTCATGTTATGTAATTTCTTGTGTCTGCCAGATTTACTTGTAAGCCTTTTCAGAGCTTGGGAACAAAGTGGCTAGTAAAAAGTCTCCAGTGTACAACTAATCTATGCCACTCATTTTTCACTGCAATATGAATGTCATGCAGGCACAGATGAATTGCATTAGAAATCACTATATTAGAAAGCTCTCATTTCTTTCCTTGAGTGGTACCAGTTTCAATAAAATGCAAACTTTTCTGTGTTCCTAAAGAGCCACAAAAGTTGCTTGGGAAAGGCAAACTAAGTGTTTCTCTTACATGCAGTCAAATGAAATATGGTTGATATTTACCATGCTAACCTGTTTCTGAAGGTACTTTATGTCTCCATTAGCTTCCCAGACTTTATTATAGCTATAGCCTTTATTAACATGGAAGTTGGGAAGGGAAATAGAAAAGCGGGTATAATAAAGGGAATATTTAAGTTTTGGTTTAATAGGAATGAACATTATTTTTTATTTTAAATTCTGAACTGTTATATTCCAGGTATAAGCCACCATGGGGTTTGATGCCTACTGCTCTAAAATGTTACTGCTTCTGATTTCCATTTAGGGAAGAAACATCTTCATTGTTATGGGTAAGTAGTCACAGGAGAACCTGCATTAAATCACAGTTAATCAATACTGTGTTCAGCAATGCATTACCTGGAAAAGCAAAACAGATGCTTGAGAAGAGCAGAATTACCATGTTTTGTGTACATCAGTTCTAGCACAATTTTTTGAGGAATCCTAACCAGATCGCCCCCCCTTATTTTTCAGAAAGAACAAAAGTTTTCTGCTTGCTATATCAGATCTGACCTCTAGCCTCGTATGAAAGAATTGCCTGCATCTTTTTCCCTTAATTTTGGAGTATTCCAAGAACTTGGTTTAATTTGCTCTGAGATCTAGAAAAGTTTGTTTTCGCCACCATATTTGAAACACCTTTAATTCTTGAGACGAGGATGAATCTTACAATTTAATTAAACTGAATGTGATTTTTTCTGTGGTTGCATTTATGAGAAAGGAGGTTACCACTCCATGACAAGCACAAAGTATTTGGGTAACAACAGACCCGTGTGTCCCACAAATAACCTTTAACTTGCAAATTGCTTTTTACAAATTTTGGTGGAGGATCACTGCTAGATTTGAGGATAGCTGGCAACCTTTTTTCTCAAGCTAGAGAGCTCAAGAAGAGCTATTTAAGGTTCCTCTGTAGGAGAAGCTGTTGAGGAATAAGCTAGTGGGAGAAGTTAAAGAACAAAAGACAGTCTCTTGGAAGAGGTTGTAGTACCAGACTGCTTCTATGGAGTGCAGTAGCCATGCTGGAAGCCCCTAATTCTCTGAATGTGGGTGGCATCTTGGTTTAGAGTCCACTGTTCTAGTGTCACTTAATTATGAGGAAATCTGTTTTTTCATAAATAGAGCACAACAGGCAGAAAAAGAGATTCTAGACATATTTTTGTTTCTGAGAACAGCATAGGGCTTAAGGGGTCTCTGGGCAGAATACAAACAAAAAGAACCCCAAGTTGAAGTACTCTTAAAGTCACAGTTTTTCAACATGGCATTTAAAGTCCATAAAAAGCAGAGTGTGGTGGCAGATCACACTTATCAGTAGCCTGAATCTCTAAGAAGCACAATAAAACTGAACCAAGCAGATCTTAAACAGTTAACCCTATCCATAGAATAGTTTCCAGGTATTTAACTAATTAAATTAATAAGCTATTTTAAACTAACCTTTTGCAAATTTTATATATCAGCTTTCATCACTGTGATCTGAGCATAACAACCTCATGTTATCTTCTTAGAACCAAAAACATGACAAGATGAATATAAAAGTAAAATGGTCTCATTCAACAACACAGTCCAAGATAGGTGAAATATAAATAAAACAGCCATATATAGCTATACAGCCAAAGTAGTTTACACAGCTACTGACAGTGATGCTAAGAACAGAGCTGGTTGCACAATTTCAATCTTCTGTGTGCACTTTTGTTTCAAAATACCTGAATGTGTGCACGTGTGATGCTCGTTTCTTCAGATTCTGGCTGAGACTGAAAGGGGGAACAATGTCCAAATCCCTTTTAATCTCTCATTATTGTTTTGGCACAGGGAGAGCTCTCAGACAATCATTTGCATCTACTGGCTACAAGCAACTTGGTTTGATGTTTAACTCCATGTGCTTTGTCCTTTCCAGTGGTATGTCTTTGCTGTAATATCATTTACTGCCATGTGGCTGCCAAGGTACACCCATGTCACCCTGTCCCAACATCACTTTAGATGGGTACTGCCGGAGCTCACCCTAGGTCATGGGTGGCTCTGTGTGGTGGAAAAATCTCTCCTCCAACCCGTGCTTTCAAAGAAAGGCTCAGAAGTCTTCTGTTGTTCAGTCTCCAGGTAGTTTATTGCAAGTTATCTAAAAGATTTTCTTCTTGAGCTGCTGCGGTCTGCTCAGCTGCTCAGGCAGAGGCACACACACACATCCTGACATCCTCTCTGTCTGCCGTCTTCTTCTCTCTCTCCTCCCAGGGCTGGTGCTATCTTTTATATGGTACATTACATGTTAAATGTTTACAGTTTTTCCCCAATGCCTACTACCTATATTAAATGATACCTTTCTACTCTAAACCAATCTGTGAGTGCCAACATCACCAAGAACATGGAGGTAAGAAAGAAGAAAGAGGGAGGACAGGACAGGTCCAGATCCCTCCATCTTAAAACTTCTGACCCCTATGTACAAAACCAAAACCCCCCTGTACAGGACTTAAAACCCCCCTGTACAGCATTCAAAAATTCTTCCCTTTACTTTGTGACTATTTCTACTATAATATCTAAAGTTTTGTGACTTCTTGTTCTTCCTGCAAGGTTGGTAAATCATTCCATGGTTCTAATCCAAAATCGCAGCTTTTCCAGCTGCCTGCCAGGCTCTTAAATGCTTCTGACCTGGACCCGGAACATCCAAAAATGTCTGAGGGACATTTTGAGTTCCAACAGGTACAGCAGTAGGGTTTAATTCAGCTGCCTACATGATGCAGGGCCACTGCTCCCAGCAAAGCTGCAGCGCTGCTTCAGGCGGTATGCTGGCAGTACAGCTGGGGAGAAGGGAAGGCAGGACAAGAAGGTGAGTGTATGGGAATAAAACAAATAAGGAGCTGTAATTGCAAGTAATGTGCTTAGCCTGATTGCTTGATAACCTCTATTTTCAGCTCAGTATGCTCATGTGAACTTTGTGGCCCAAACTTTGCTGAAACAATAGATAGAGCTATAACCTTTGCTAATTAGAACCACAATAACAGCGCATGGCTGTACAGGAGGGCATAACTCGGTGAATGGCCAAAGCTGAAGCCCAGTGGAAATATTTTTTGCATGCATTGATCCAAAGCCCAGTAAAGACAGAGGGAATGAAGTCTCTGCCAGAAGTGATAAGACCCAGATCCTCTTCTGATTAAGTCTGGAATGTTCTATCCAGACCTTCTAGTTCAGTTTGTTTTGAAGGTACTTTTTGCTTTAAGTGCTCTTCTATTTCCAGGAAATCCAGTTGTACTATTGGAACACTTTTACGTATGGGCAGAGGAATATGCTGAGTGATTGAAGTGGTAGCAGTGGCCTGTCCTGGACATCAGCAGCTCTGTCATGGAAGAAACTGTGAAGTTCCTTTTGTAGGAAGGCTGGGGAAAGAGAATGAGAAAAACGAAGTGGGAGAGCTGGAAGCAGATGGTAATACTAATCAGTTATTCTGAGTTATATGAAAATTTGAGATCATGTAGTCAGGTACAGAGAATTTAGCAGGGCATAGACTGACACAAAAGTGAGGGGGGAAAAGATGGAGAGGTTTGAGAACTACCTGCAAGCATGGCAAAGCATTAGGGCAGACTGAGAGCTGCACCATGGGAAAGGACAATGCATTTCAGACTTGAATTTTCCATAATAACAGACTTTTCCTAAAGCTTGGGTCAAAATGACACCAACAAATTACTTCCACAAACAAATGCAAGCTGGATGAAGAACTGTATCCTTTCTTTCTTCCCCCTTTAGCAGTTGCTGCTTGTAGGGCACACCTGAGGTGCACAGACCTGCTCCCCCACTAGACAATGGACAAGTTGTTTTTCCTCAAAGCCACGTGCCCATCCTGGAGTCCAGCGTGCAGCAGGACGCTTGTGTTGTTTGGGCAGGGGTGGAGAAAGCAGCTCTTCTTCCACTTCCACCCCCTCCTTCTTTTCATCTAACAGGAATACCCTAATCAGGGAAGTATGCTCAGGCTGTTTAGCAAGGGGTCAAATCCATTTGGATATAATTCCAGGGCTTCAAGTATAACAATGGCAGGAAGAGAGGTTTTTAAGCTGGCCCACACAGTGCCTTGTTGACAGATATGGCCTGCTGCCTCATGCTGCCCGCCCTTGGAAAGCCCTGGCTGCTCCCAACACGAAGGAGAGGCAAAAGCTCACTGCAACTAGTGAAATGAAAGAATCCCTCCATTAATTAATAAATTCTTCTGTGACCATACTTCTTGCCCAAACCTAAATCTCCTCTTCAATGCTTTGGACATTTTAGGTGTTATATGGGATGGCATGTCAGCAAAAAGGGAATTCTGCTTTGCCCCTTGCCTCATTCCCATAGAAAAACTCTCCTATACAAACCCCTATCTAAGCATGGTTTTCATTACAAGCTCACATCTCAGATATTTTCCATCTGTATGAGGAAAATAAGGCTTTACTGATTGCTCCTCAAAGTATATGGGGCAGCACACAAGGAAGACATAGCACATAGACTTTGTGTGCTTGCTGCCAATGTTGGATACAGCAGCAGGATTTTCATTCCTTCAGCTGCTGTTTTTCCTGTTTTCTTGAAATTCCTCAACAGTTAAGGTAGGTGGGCAAACGGACCAAACCCAGGGCACAGGACTGTATCTGGCATTTGCTTCAGGAATATGAGTGCTGTAGACTGGGAGATGTTTCTCAATCTGGCTCTGACTCTGGGATGAGGAAGGGGGAGGAACTGGAGGGCTAGTCCAAGTTAGAGCACATTTTTTCTTTTCTAACACACCATGCAGTGCTCTGCTTGCCTGATAGTGACTGTATGGGAAAATTCTGTCTTATCAATTTGTTAAAAATGCCTTTCTCATTGGGGAATAGGAGACGGCACTCACATGCACAGACAGAGAGTGTAGGAATGCTTTGGGAGGGCTCTGATAATCAGGAAACTCCAAACCCCAGCAATTCAGAAAAACAAACCAGAAACTCCTAAAAGGCACCACAGCCACTAAAAGGAAAGGCATTTTTTCTGTCAGTGTACTGACCAAGATCAACCTAATTTCTGTCATGACTGTTTAGTTTCGTTTCTTGGTTTGTTTTTTTCCCTAGCTGACCACAAGAGTGCACTCATGGAATGATGTCCTGCCTTGTTTCCTCTGGGTCATTTCCTTTCCCTCAGCTCTGGAAGCAGCTTACAGCATGTGGAGGTCGGGGGGTCAGACCTGGGCCCATGTGTTGCTTCTCTGGACATACAGATGCTGTGTCCCCGGGGAGGAAGACGCTGCAGCTGTACATTGAGTGGCACATACTTGCATGATGAGTACATGGACATGAGTGCATGGACACGTCACCAGGGATGCATGCTGGGGGTACATCTGAGTGGCACAGGCTTTGTCCACAGGCTGTGCTTTATGTTGGTAATGATTTTCTTCCTTATAAGGGATGGCTGTACTTAAAGAGCATATCTGAGATTCTCCCACAGTCTCGTCTTGCTGTATAGTTGGGGTTTGGGGCTTTTTCCTTCCCCTTTTTCCCCCCTCCCAGTGTTTCTCTGCTACTCTTCTGTGACCTTCTAACACCGCAGATCATTTGTCAAGCAGCCAGTAATGGCTAAACAGAGGCCCATTGTAGCAGGCACTTGCAACAATTTGTTAACAATAAATATGATGTGATTAGTAAATACCTCATAATTGAGTTACATTATGTAGAAATATCAGCTTTGGTATTTGCCAGAATGTTGTGGGCTTTTTTTTTTAATTATCTTTCTTCTGAAATAGTTGTGGCGGTTTTTTTTTACTTGCTCAGTTTTTTTCTATACCTCTGATTCAGGACTGTGGTCAAAGTTCAGCTCTGAATTTGTATCAGTGTCTAGGACTGAGACCTAGGATGACTAAGTAGATCGATGAATAGAAGTAAAATGTGAAGGAAAACTTGAAAGTCGATTTTCACACCACACACAGTGTGCATGTGGATTTGACCTGCCTTGCAGGGCTTTCTTTATCGATAAATGTATTGCTGATGGAAGATGAATGATCTTTATATCCAGAGATGTACAACACAGAGAACAACAGTATGAAGCTCCACTGGTTGATGAAGGAGCTTCTTTCATGGCCTGGACTACTAATAGCAGAAAAGTCAGGCTGATCCTTCACTGGTATTTAATGAACTACACATAAGAAATAAATTCAATTTTTATGATGGCAGTTTAAAATAACTCAATTTCCCCCCCCCCACCTCAATGCTTAAGTTTTGAATTCAATACAGACCAGACTGCACATAAGCTACAGCCTATATATATATATATATATATATATATATATAAACTACAGCATATATATATATATATATATATATATATATATATATATATATATGTGTGTGTGTGTGTGTGTGTGTGTGTATGTATATGAGTCTGTGACTCCCATGATTTCCAGGTATTTCTTCTTCAGATAATGTATTTCTTCAACCAGGAAGAGTAGCCATTTTATATTTCCTCCTGAATCTTCACTCAAAGTGATTCTTTCCAAAATCAGAGCTGCACAAAAGTATCATTTAAGGTGCAACTGCACAACCACTAAACTCACAAATTATATGTAAGTTATAGTGATATGAATACTCAAATATTTGTGGTTTCACTTCTGCAACAACACGAAAACAGCTGCATAACTAAACACTTCTCTATGATTTAATATAAACTCTTTCTCATAATGATTTTCTCTCTTCCACCCCCTACAACTTTTTTATTTCTTCTCCACCCACTTCCAATGTTCCTACAAGCTTTTCAAATTGTTCTGCTCCTTTCGGGTTTATTTGTGCGGTACACCATCCGTAAAGGCATCTCTGGAACTTTTAAGTAATTTTGCAAAGACAACAGTGG